TTTTTTTGTTTTGCTCTTGCCGTTGTTGTTGTTTTGTTTTGTGTGTGAGTGCTTTTTTTTTTTTGTTGCTCGGACTAACAGACTTTCAATGCGGGTAGAGTACGACTGCATAAGAGGGCGTGGTATAAAATCTTTTTTTTTTTTTTTTTTTTTTTCTTTTTTTGTTAGCTATCTTGTGAGGCGATTAAAGAACACCCAAATACTTAAAATATACTTTTGTGTGTAGTGCGTAGTGCATGCTTATATATGCATACATGTCAGCCTATTCAAAGACTTTTTTCTTAACAATGTATCCAACGTTTGCGAGCACACAAACATTTTAACAGATGTATATGTAACCTTAGACATATACATAGATGATGCGATGCGTTTTCGAGGCTATTCGCATGTTTTTCTCTCGTGTATCTCAATATGAGGGATGGATGGCATATTAAGTTTATCCTGTTATCAGTAACTTAGTAAACTACTCTTGGGATGCAATGCAAATTGTATTCAGTTAATTATTTTACCTTAGCCGGAATAAAGTTTTAATTCATTTGCAAATGTGACTGCGACAATCAAGAAGTCTTTCATCAAGGCAGTCAGCCCTACACGTTCTATAAGAAAGCCATTACATTTATTGTGAAACATTATCCATCCGTACCCGTATAGGGGAATCGAAAGTTTAGATTTACTTCGGACCGAGTCTGGACGATTGCCTCCGTAAATTAAATATATCTATGATATTACAAAAATGGAAGTATCGCAGGGTAATTTTATTGATTACATTTATTCCAGATTTTGAAAAATTTCGACATTTATTAAATTGATATGTAAGTGAGTTTAATCTTAATCAAATGAATCAATGTGTAATGTTGTAAATGTATGTGGAAAATATATTTTATAGTGTTTTGAATGGATCGATCGAAATAAATCGAATGTTTTACAAAATGCTAAGAAAAGACACTCAGTTAGTTATATTCCAAAACGTTCCAATTTATTTACGATAATTCAGTGAAAGTGTGGTAGCTGGCGAAAACTTTCATATTTAAAGTCGATCTTCAATGGAGGAAAAATTACATAAAATGTTATCTTAACAGAATGGCTCAATACTGTTACTGTTAACGTTTTTGGTACTCATTGAAATAAATGCTGTTATGCTGTTATGTTGCGGGCACAACACACCGCAAATTCTCGGTACGAACAGTTAGTTCGTTAGTGTTTGTTAGATTTTGAAAGTACTATGGGGAACGTTATGGTTCTTTTTTTTTCTCTTTTTTTTTTTGATACAATTTACGTTTTCTTTCTGGTTGATTGACTCGATTATTGTTTATTACTTGCAACAATTTGACAAAAAATTTTTTTTTTGAAAATTAAACTCATGTTTAATTTTCTTGTTTTATTCCTGCTCTCACTTATTATTTTTAAGTTGCATATGAAAATTTATTAGCAGATAGAAAAATTTTAAAAGTTTTCTTACTCAACTTAACTCTCCGATGAGTTAATTGATTTTGGCTGCTTTTGATGGGTTAGTAGAGGAGGCCTTTTCTATGAAAAGTCTGACTGTTTGTTTTCAAAATTTTAATTTTCTTTTTTTCTTTCTCAACTGTTTGTTATGACCTTTTTGACTACCATATCATAGGCTTGATGAACTTATTCTTATTATTGATAGTTGCATTAGTAGCCATTGAATTTGTATATTTTTGTGGCCACGTAAACGTTATGCGTCACCAGTTTTACCAGTTTCCCCCACCAGTTTCACCAGTGGTCCATTGGAGAGCCCTGCTAAATTTACGCATTTTCTAAATATTAGCGAAAATGTTTCTGTATCGTTCAGTTTAATTTTTTACATAGCTTCGTGCACTTAGAATGTCATCCTGACCGGCTATGAAAAATAGGTTTCCTCTCATTTGGCAATTGTTGGAATGCCTTTGATTTTCAGTATTATTCTTGCTACAATTAAGCATTTTCCTTTTTGTATAGAGATCCACAATGTAGAAAAAGTTTGTTCTTGTGCATATTTCTCTATCTCTCTCTCTCTCTCTCTTTCTTTCTATTGACAAGTGCTTTATGTTTAAATACTTTCACTTGTATATTTAGGTAAGACGAGTCGCGTCGCGGATTACGCACCTATACCAATATTTATATAAATAATTTTTAAAACGCAAAACCAGTCACTTAGGGGGTGTCCCCTACACATGTCGCGATGGCGGTAATCAAGAGTCATTATAGGTACTTGTAGATTATGGGGAAATTATCTTCGAGGCACATGCTTTTAATTTCACAATTTAGAGGAGCAGACATTAAACAACTTTTATTATGCACTATCTGCTGCTTACAAGTTTTATGACAGCTAAATATTTCGAACTAAGGCTTTCGCAGAGTTTATTAAGTTAGATTTAATCAGCATCGCAACATACAAATGTGGATAAGTTTTTTGAACAGATTAATAATAAACATTTCTGAGCATTGTCTTACGATACTAGAAATAAGCAAGTGAAGCATTTTTGGCAATGTTACGGCAATTCTGAATACCCTCTAGTTAAGGCAAATACACAGTGCTTTTTTCGTACACAGCGTGAATTTTCTTTAAACGTTACATACGAGATCAAATAATTATTGCTTGATATTCATCCACCTTTCGGTTTTTTATATAAAAATAACGATTCAAAGATTTAAGGTAAAGTATAGAAATTATATTCGGCTGTAGCCGAAGCTTTTATATACCGCCCCTTTATAGTAAAGTAAGGAAATTATATTCTGCTGTAACCGAATATTTTATATGCCGCACCTTTATATTAAAAAGAAGGGGGAAAACCGCAATTTCGACACTTTATAGAATATATATAATAGAGATAGCCTTGGTCGATTTTTTCTCTTTTTCTTCTCGTACTGCAGGATTACCCATAAAATACCCACGGATATTGTTACCCTTATATTTGTTGCAGTTTTTGAGCAATGGACAAAAACGCAATTTGTATTGCATTTGCAAATTGAGGTATTCTCGGTTTATGTTGTGTCGAAGACAGACGTTGACATATGCACAAATGATATACTAAGAATCTTCTGAACGATTTTGCATTTTTTTTTTTTTTTTTTTTTTCGATATTTTAAGCCTTGGAAATTTTGCGAGCTATTAAGCAAAGAGATATTTACTAATTCCTTCCGGAGGAGTTTAGAGTCCCGTTCCCTTCGTCGCGTAAGCAACGAACTTTACGTTTGACGATAGTCATTAGGACAGTGTTTTTGAATAGTTTTCCGTTAGTTTAGTTGCAATACCTAAGTGTGAATAAAGTTTCGAAAACTAGTTTTTAGAGAATCTGCATATACTACACAGTTCATTTTTCTGACGAGTTGACGAAAGGTTTATCAATACATATACGCACACATATAGTATAATATATCAGAGATGCTTTGCTTGCTAATAATATCTTACGCTGTTCGTGATCTACGATATTAATGGACTTATATAATAGGTTTCTACACGTTGAATCGATCTTCCCGAAAATGTCTTCAATCACTTCAGAAGAAATTATTGAATATATCTTTGCTTGAAAGTTCGTGACACTGCACAATGTTTGCGGGAAACAAAATGCGGGAAATTGTTAGAAGCTGCCCTAAATTCACGCACTCATCGAAAGATGGGCTTTAGCAAGATAGCACAAAAAAAGTTATATTTTCGCTTAACCAAATTATTTGAAAGAATTCAGGAAGCAGGCTTAAGAATTTTCATTCCTTTCCAAAGGAATGTGATTATACGTATATGTATAGATAATAGTTTTTTTTAATAATTCTTCTTACCTTAAAAAGTAGGCGTGTAAGTAAATAGCCGTAGGTTGTTTTTGGCATTCGGGTCGTATACCCAATCACTGTAAGGAGATAAAGCCTAAATAAATAGCAAGTAGTCGGACTATATGTAGAAATGCTAACCCGAAGACTCTGTAGGTAAAGATAAAAATTTGATAGAAAATGAATTTTTTTTTATTTTTTTTATATATAATAGCAATAAAAATAAAATTATTATTTACAGGTAAAATATATATATATATACGTTATTAAAAAATAATAAGCATTGATGCATATGAACGCATTGCATATGCTAAATCGTACACATACGGACGTACATACGTACATGCATGCGTGCGTGCGTGCGTGCGTGCGTGCTTCCGTGCACGAATGTTTGTTCGCGGTTGTGTCACTCTATCATTTGATGTTTCGCTTCGGCGATGGTAATTCAACGTTATCTCTTAATTCGACAGATAAAAGATAATAATAATGAAATTCGCCGGAAAACGTTCGATTTCATTTCCACGCCATAGTTCACTTAAGGGGGAACAATTGAAATAAAGCGAAATACAAATTGGAATTAAAACAAGTTATTTTTGAACGTCTACTCTATATATATGTAAATGTATGCAGCTCACGAACACATTCAGAGCTGCTTGTGCTGCTTGTAACTAAAAGTAAATTTCATTCATGTGCACATTCATGTCCGCACAGTCCGCACAGTCCGCATTTAACTGTCGTATCGTTGTGTTCGAAATTTGCTGGCGTGTGAATTATTTCGGTATAGTTAAATAAAAAAAGAAAAGAAAAAACACAAAATAAGTCAAAAAGAAAGAAGGTAAAAAAAAAAAAAAATGTAAAAAATATATATTGAAAAACATATAAACGCAAATAAACAAACAAACAAATTTCGCGACAATTATTATTATGATAGCATGGAATGTTAATCCCTTGCAAACTATAGTAAATTAGTTAAAATATTAAGTGGAGCCGTTTTTTGAAAAGATATGGAACAAATAAATAAATCATCATTTATAACTATACGGTACTAATGTAATTAAAAAGAAAACTATAAATGAAAAGTTTAAAAAGCGAAATAATAAAAATTAAAATAAAAATAAAAATAAAAAAAAAAAAAAAAAATAAAAATAAATAAAAATTAAAAAAAAAAAAAAAAAAAAACAGAAGAAAAAAGTTAAAAAGAAAATAAAGATAAGCAAATAAAAAATCGTAACATTAAATGAAATGAAAAATAAAACAAAAAATGTAATAATAATAAAAATAATAATAAAAAAAAAAAACTGAATAATGTGTATGCAAACATAAATTGAATGTAGGAACATTTAATATTTATAAATGTAGTATTCCGTGTAAAATCGATTTTCATGTAAAAGTCGTAGAAAACTTTGTATTTTACTGCAAAATCAGCAACTCAGAGCATCAGCAGCAGCTACACACATAAATTGTAATTTATTAATTTATAGCACTACTCCGGCGTATAAACTTCTTCTGTTTTTGCCTTCGCCTTTGCCTTTGCCGTTGCTGTTGCCGTTGCCGTTGCCGTTGCCTTCCTCGCTGTATGCCACGTTATGAACAAAACAACAGCACAACGTGCTTCTCATTTCATCAGCGTCGCACAGTAAAAAACTTTGCCCATTACTGCTGCACTGGCACAAAACGTACAAAGTAAGTGGGTGGCAATAAAAGTTGTTGTGTTCACCCGCCGAGTATATTCAATGAGGTTTGGTTAAGAATTTGCCGCACAAAATATCCTCCTTATAGATTGCAATAGCAATAGCACACCAGTAAGCATGCACGGGCTACCAGGATATCAGAATTAGTATAGAAAAATTTTAAGAAAGAATTGAAAAACGAAGACCGCACATGTTTATATACATATATTTATATCTATATGTATATATATATATATATATATATATATACAATGTATATTTATGATAGTATATGCACGTATATATTCGTATTTATATACGTACATACACACATAAATGCATAGATTCATACATAAATATATACATACATACATACATACATACATTAAACTCGCGTACTCGTAAGAATCAATGAAAATAAACGCTGGCTGCCACGTATATATGTAAACACTTTGTAGGAGGCTGTAATAAGTTATACACGTAGGGGACGTAAACCTCTAAGTAGTATTATTTTATTTTGTTTTTCATATTATTTTTTTTTTGTTCTTTTTTTTGTTCCTTTTTTTTTTTTGTTTTCTTTAAAATTTCCGAAAAGGTTGTAGCAAGTAGCGTAACCTTAGAGCAGTTTTGTAAACATTGTTTTTCTTAATAAAGGCGAAGTAACATAAAACTTTTTGAGAATGAATAGAATAGACCGTAACAGGGGGTACACACCAACATCATTCTCTCTTTACACTTGCGAGTATAGCAGAATTTTATGTCGACACTTGTGTAATTTATGACGTTAAGCATTAAACATTAATAAATAAAGCGTTAATATAAATACATGTGTGTACTGTTTGTACATGTATGTAGATGGATACGTTAAACTTTCGTACATCATACACAAACACACACACACACACACACACACTTACATAGAGACACAAACAAACACATATACGTTTGAATGTTAATACATATTTCCATACATATAACATATATTTATTTTATGTACATATGTAATTCATTTGTTTTTTATTTATTTTTTTTATTTTTGATTATTTATTTATGTTATTATTATTTATTTACATAACTAAATATGTATATCTTATATGTATGCATTAAACTCTCCGTGGAATATATGTACATACATATGTACATATGTATATATATGCTTTGAGAAGAGAGCTAAAGATCTGATGTTCAATTTCAGCGTATGGTTTGGATCACAATTGTAAACAGCAGACGACGACGTATAACCCGCGACAGAATCTCAATGGAACAAAATAAAAAAAAAAAAGAGAAATAAATATAAAGAAACGTACACACACGCGCGTATACATATATTT